GATTATGAAGATATTCCATCTCTGAAAACTCACTCTGATTGTTCTGATAAGAAAAGAACTGAATTTGTTGGTGAAGGCCTCAGATTCAACACAGAGGCCTATATCAATTGCCTTGATTAGGTAGTGCTGCCTTGGGTCAAGAGGATGGCTACTGCAAAACCCTATGTCTGGCAACAAGAATTTGCACTATGTCACACAAGCAGGAGAACCCAGTCATGGCTGTCAGACAATTTCTGCCGCCACATCACCCCTTACATCTGGCCACCTAACTCTCCAGACTGTAACCCTGTTAATTATTATATGTGGGGTGCAGTTGTGTGAGAGACCAACAAAACTCCTTGTAATACCAAAGATGAACTGAAGGCAAGGATTATGGAAGCATTCACCAACTTAAACAAGGAGACTGCCCAGAATAGTTGCAGGAGATTCCATCTGAAGACCATGGTTGAAGCCAACGGCAATTTTATTGAATAAATTTACTTTTTCATATTTGAAGATATTTTTATGTAATTTTGCTAAATGTATCTATTCAAATGAGATGTCAGTGTTATTTTCATTGTTGCATAATTTAGACAACAATTTATCCATCACACCCTGTATACCTATTAAAATAAGATGTCAGTGTTATTTTCATTGTTGCATAATTTAGACGACAATTTATCTATGGCACTCTGTATATATAGTTGTGGACAGAATTATTTACCCCTATCACCCTTCCATAATTACAAACAAAGTTGTGTTACCTCAAATTTTCACGGAAACTTCATGCACATTTTTCACAAATAATGAAATAATGGATTTGAAAGAATTTACAGTAATGCCCACAACAAAATTTTAATACCAAACAACAATATAAAAAACACCAAAAACATTTAACATAAGACAAAATTATTGGCTGTCTTGCCTCAATAATCAATTGTGTAACTTTTATTCTTGATTATTGCCTTTAACCATTTTTGATAGTTCCATATAAGATCACTACACACACTGATAGGTATTTTGACCCATTCTTCCTTGGCAATAGCTTCTAGTTTCCCCAATTTCAAAGGACTTCTTTCTCTTACTATTTTCTTCAAATATGTCCATAAATTTTCAATAGAGTTTAGGTCAAGACTTTGTGCAGAGTACGACAATACCTTAATTTTGCTGTCAATTAAGTATTTTGTAATAATTTATGCCATGTGTTTTGGGCCATTGTCATATTAGAAAATCCTAAAGACAGCTTTTGTGCACTTTGTTTTATATTATTTTTAAGAATAGCCAAATACTCTTGTTTACCCATGATACCCTGTACTTTCATTAGTTCTCCTGGTCCAGAAGCAGCAAAACATCCCCAGAGTAGAATGTTCCCACCACCATGCTTAATTGTAGGGAGGGTATTTTTTGGTCTGTGAGTTTCATTCACTTTCTTTCATACATAATGGGAGTTCATGTGACCAAATAATTTTAGTTTGGTTTCATCTGACCAGAAAGAAGAATTTGAATATTTACTCCCATGTTCTAGATGGCTTCTAGCATAAACTAATCTGCATTTTAAGTGTTCAGCCTTAAGCAAAGGAATTTTCTTTGGGTAAAAAGCTTGAAGTTCTACTCATTGAAAGCATCTAGTGTCTGTCTTTGTTGATACATTTAATACTGATGTCTTTACATCATCAACAATGTTCTTTGTTCTTAAATGAGGATTCTTTGAGACATCTCTAAGAATTTTCCTTTCCATTCTCTCAGAAATTAACCATTTTCTGCCAGTCCTTAATTTATTCTCAACACAATGAGTCTTGTACTTCTTGATAATGCTACAAATTGTCAATCTAGGAACATTTAAATGCTTGGAAAGTGTTGTATATTTATCACTTTGTACGCATCAAATTACTTCATTCTGAGCTTCTTATCAAATTCATCTGTCTTCGTCCTGGTTGCAGAATGAATGGTTATTGTGGTACATGGCACTCATATATTGTCTTCTTCATCACCTTTTAAATTGTTATAGAACAGGTCAGTATTATTTAATTTTCAAAGGGTGTTGTTTGTATTAAATGTCAAATTAAGAAAAAAATCATTACAGTTGCCATAGAGAAATAATATTTCAGAAATATCATTATTGGTGGTTGGACAAATAATTTTGGACTGCACCAATTTTTAGAAAAATTTATAAGTATGAATATAACATCGAAACTTCTAAAAATTTCATGAATTATTCAAAACTAAATACTGAATCAGCTATTTATGGTAAATTTAGTAAGTACTTGCAAATATTTGCATTTCCTTAGAAAATATGAAAATATTTAATGGGATTGAATAATTTTGTCTACACCTATAAAAGAACAATTTTAGGGGAAAAAATTATGAAAAATTGGAAATAGTTTTTGTGCAATGCTTTTTGTTGTTTAGGACTTCACGGAACTAAAGTTATGCTTACATTGATGCAACTCTACATTGTAATCATTTCACCCTAAGCAAGGCCAAAAAACAAAGATGTAATGGGTTTTAGATTGTTAGAGAATATGAGAAAAAAAACACTATAAAGGTGAGAGAACAAAAAAAAATAACAAGAATTAAGAAGACAGAAGATAATGGTTGACATTGCATTTAAAGTTTTTAGAACAGAACTTATGGTTGCATCTAGCCATTTCATCTGTAAGATGATGAGACCTTGCTGCCAATCTAGTACTTCATTTAAATTCTTAAAATCTAGGTACCATAGAAGAAAGTTCATTAGAATAATTACCATGAAAATATTTATAGAAAAGGCAGAGGGAAGCTACATTGAAGTGGTGGGAAAGAGGCTGAAGCCAGGATGCCAGATCAGGACCAATAATATTGCTGATTATTCTTTGGATTTTATCAAGAATCTCTAAATATATAGCAGGAGCACCGGACCATATGTAGCAGCAATATTCTAAGTATGGATAAATGGTAGATGTATAAATTTTTAAGATAAATTGTAGAGAGAAAAATTGTCTAACATGATACCAACTTTTCTAACAGACATAGGAATTGCTTCAATATTTTTTTTACAATGAAGTTCACCCTGTAAAAGACCCAAGATCCACTCAAGGTAGATGGTTACAGAGTAAGAGGTACAGTTTATAGGGATATGTGGGGAAGATAACAGTTGACCCATGATATAAACAGGTAGTGAATCAAGAAGCATCCTCTTGGAAGTCAGTTCCACAAGGCAGCAGTTTGCAAAAAGAAGCTGTTTAACTAGAACTTACATCTCACTAATGGAATATGAAGTGAATGAAGCTAGTTTGCTACAATGGGCATGGTATGGCAGGTTTGTCTTTGCAGCTTTATTAATGTGTAACTGTTCTAGTGGCAAGTTGTTCCCAATGTTGGATATTAAAAAAGAAGCCATAGATGATGTTCCATCTGCACAGACACTGAAATTACCCTAAAGCATAAGAGTGGATAAATCTACACAAAAGTCACTAAGTGAAGAACGGTTGATACGGTACTTCTTTGAACATAAAAGGTGCTGGCCTTTCTTGCAGAATTTTGAAAATGGATATACCGTTATTATTGATTCAATGCTCAAGTGATCTTTAAGAATAAATGGAACTGGACATATTGAAAACTTTGTCTCTATATAAAGTTCCCAAATGTCTTTGATGAACTGAAGGGTACGTTCAAATATGAATTTTATGCAGGAAGTTTCTTCAGTATGCTTATTCTGAAATTCTTATGAAAAATATTGTTGACACTTAGAGACTGAATGTCATTCTGTGTTGGAGATCTGATATTGGATTATTTCCCAGTACGAAACACTTAAGTATATAAGAATGTGACATTTCTTAGAGATGCAATAATTGTGCTTCTTTAAATAACAAGGAAACTAGTGGTCCACGTGGAATTATTTATTTTTACGGTGAATGGAAAATGCACAAGCTGAAAGCATCTTAGTCATTTTTTATGAAGTTTGGAATACTGGGGTGAAGATAATTTGTCGAGAACATGAAAGCTTTTGGTATTTTTTTTTTTTTACTTTTATCAGGAAAATATTTTTTTCTCTGGTCTTCTGTCAGCTGTTATTTTTTCTTATTTCATTCTTGTTATTCGTTTGTGTGTTTTGAGATTTGAAACTGTTGCTTGTGGAAATTCAAGCAGATCCTTCACGATGTCATATTCTTCACTGCTTTTTCCTTCATTATTCATTCTCTTCTTTTTTCACTTCTTTTTCTTGGAATTTATTCTTTGTTTCTTTTTCTTCTTGGAATTCTTTTACTTTATTTTTTTGTTTTGTTTTTAAATGACTTTTCTTATATTTCTTGCTTAAGGTTTAGATTTGTCTTCTTTTTTTAAATGTATCGTTTTCTGACACATAACATGTTAAAATTTCTTTCTCCTTTGTTTTTTTCCTTCAAAATGTTTCTTTTTTTGCATGTCCTTTTTTATTTGTTCCTTCCATTTGTTAAGTTATCCTTTTTTCTTTCACTCTTCAGATCCTCCACTTTTTCCTTTAGATTATTCTCCTTCTTATACATTTTTAAGAATTCTTCTCTTTCATTCAATCAAAAAAAGCTTTTTTTTTCATTTAAATCATTCTTTTTTATAACTTCTGCTTCTTCCATGTTTTTCATATCACATTTTATTTTTGCCTTTAAAAAGCATTTCCTTCTTTAAATATTTCTACCCCTTAAAACAATTGCTTTCTCATATGAAATCATTCAGAAATGGCCAAATCCCATAATTCCTTCACAACTTTGAAATACACTGCCTTTAATTTTCTTGTACTGCATCTTTCTTTGTTTTTCTCTTTCCTCTCTTTTTAATTTCTGCTTCACTCTCTTTAATCTGTGTTTCTTCTTTCTCACTTTTATTCTTTCCTCTCTCTCTTTAATCTTCTGCTTTTTTTTCCCACTCACTTCCATTTCCCCTTTTCTATTCAGTTGTCTTCTCTTTCAATAAAGAAAAAGATAAAATTGGCAAATTAGATAAAATTGTACAAAATAAGGTCAAAGATTATTTTGATCTACTCATGCCTTAAGGAATGTATTTTCATGGGCGGAACGGGGGGGGGGGAGAATTTTTGTCTCTTTATTTCCCTTTTGATGGTTCTATTCAAGTAAAAACCAGGCAGAGAATAATAGCTTGTCTTTGCTTCCAGAAAAATACCATCTTCCAAGAAGATCAAGAAACCTATATATGAGTGTGTGTGTGTGTGTGTGTGTGAATAGTTTGTCTAAACTTATTTATCTTTAAATCAACAGATACTTGCTAAAATCAATATCTATCTATCTATCTATCTATCTATCTATCTATCTATCTATCTATCTATCTATCTCTGATCAGTAATGTCTATGTGCATGTGTGCTTGTATGTGTGTGAGTACAGGTTTGGTTAAAAACTAGTAAAAGTTCTTTGTTTAAGTCTTTCTTATTTCATTTTTTCCTGTGTGTTTTTTTTTTTTTTTGGTCCTGGGGTAAAATTGGAACATAAATTGTCTAAATATCTAACAAAGAACATTGATCTTTAACCAGTTGCCCAAATATATATATATATATATATAATATACATACATACATGAATGCATATATATATATATATGTAAATATATATATGTATATGTTATAAAATATATATATATATATAGAGAGAGAGATTATAATACATACATATATATATATATCTGATATTGAGCACTTTATCCCATAAATTTAGCACACCTTAAGACTATATTTCTTCATATATATATATATATATAATATATATAATTTTATATATATAACAATATTACCTCAAAATATATATATATATATATATCAACAATATATAAATTTTTATATATATATAATATATATATATATATATATATATATATATGAGGTAACAATATATAAATTTTTATATATCAACAACAATACTGAGGAAATTTTTATATATCAGCAACAATACTGAGGAAAAAATGTATGACAAAGTGGAAAAACCTTTTCATGTGACACCTTTTATCTTTTACAACTTCATCAGACTAAATTTGTTATGTAGACATGCACAGAAATGAGAGATGCTGGGAATTTTAATTTTTTTAAAATCTATAATCTAGCTGATTTAAGTTAGATTCTTTTTCCTTTTCTGTTTCAATCACTTTTCTTATTAGATTTATCATACTGTGATAATAGAAGATCAGACACAAATGATTAAATGTTTCAAGAGCTAGGGCACAAATGTAGATGATGACCTTGCAAGCAAGGCATTTTTCTTTTGTCATAGTGAATTATTTTCTCCTTTTTTTATGTCAAAATTGTGGTCAGTCTCGTTACAGTGAGCAACTAATGCATTTAATGTGTTGTTTGTAAAATGTCCCTCATGTGTGTGAGTTCTATTTGAAGTCTGAGTTGAGTTGAAGTCCCAATAGGCAGACAAAGCATGAAAGCCTTATTGAGGGAACAACCGCTCATCATAATTGCTGATAGTCTTGGGTCTGATTAGTGATGCTGGAAAGTAAATAGTTCAGTTTTCAAGGTATTGACTGTAACCAGCCAGTTCTTTCCCTCACTGAGATCGGCCAGATGAGAGATCAGCTGCAAATCACTGGTCATATATATATATATATATATATATATATGGTGGGCTCTCCTATTGTGAACAATAAATGAGGGTCAACATTGGATGGTGCCTTTCGTTTTACACTTATACATGCAAGCAGTGGCTATTGTAGAGAAAATCAGGTAAGCGAAAGACTTATTTTATTTGTGCTTTCTTAAGTGTGATACTAGTCCAGCCTTGCTACAGGCGACAAAGCCACCCTGACAGATGAAATTTGTTAAAGCCAGGATTTTGATGGCATCTCTCCTTCAAAGCTTGACAAAGCTGATCATAGTGCTTCAGTCTATGTCTTCAAAACCCTTTAACTTAATGAAACTTTCAAATCAAAGTTGAGATGTTTCAAGTTGTCCTTCAATTTGTCTTTGTGGTATAAGAGTGGACGTCCAAATGAACACTTGGAGTTTGGTTTTTGTCCATACAGCACCTTTTTTGGAAGACTATGCTCATCCATTCTCACAACATGACCTGCCCACCTAAGTTGTATCTTTGCTAGAATGGTTTCAATGCCTGTGATGTTGTTACATTTCTTCAATATTGCATTATTCATGACTCTGTCATCTCATTTTATATTACATATGGCATGAAGACAGCATATGTGAAAGGCATGAAGTTGATTTATGTGCTTGTGGTACTGGGTCCAAGTTTCAGCACCATAGTGAATGACTGATCTGTATATGTCGATCTCTGAGAGAAATGTCTTTGGTGTTCCATAACCTATGTTTAAGATTACCAAATGCTGCACTGTCTTTGGCTATTTTGGATTGGATTTCTCTGTCCATTTTTCATCAGAAGAAAATGTTGATCCAAGATATGTGAACACCTCAACAGTTTTTAATGCCGTACCATCAATGAAGATGGAAGGATTTGTGAGAGATGGATTGCCTGGTACCGGATGATACATTAGCTCAGTCTTCTTTATGTTGATAGTGAGTCAAAATGCTTTCCATGTTTCAAAGAATTTATCAAGGATAGTTTGAATGTCTTCTAGACTGTGTGCTAAAAGAGTGGCATCATCTGCAGACCAAGTTTCAATTGTACTTTAAAACGTTGCTGATTGTATAGACCTCCACTTGTTCTGAATTCAACATTGACTCCTTCACTTAAGTCAGAGAATGCTTTTTCAAGCATAGCAGAAAAGAAAAGTGCAAAAAGAAGAGGAGCAAGAACACAACCTTGCTTTGTACCATTGGAGATGAAAAGGTGTCTGATTGCTCACTTCCTAACCTTGCAAAAGTTTTCATTCTTTTGTGAAAGGAGATAATAATATGGAACATTTTTCTGGAACACCTAATTTTAACAGAACATTCCAAAGAGCATTTGAGATACAGTATTGAAAGCCTTTGTGAAGTCTAAAAACAACAGATAGATCCATTTTTTGGTCTTGTGCCTTCTCCTGAGCCAGCTGGAGACAAAAGATCATATTCATTGTTTCTCTATCAGATCAAAAACCACACTGGGTCTCTGGTAATGTTGACTCTGAGACAAATTCATTATGCCTATTCAGGATGATGTGAGCAAGGATTTTGCCAGCAACCGAAAGAAGAGATACTCCTCTATGGTTGTCATATTCACACCTGTCCATTTTGTGCTTATAGAAATGGACAATTGAATCATCCTTATATTGCTGTGGCACTTCTCCCTCTTCCCACACAGGGTAGAAAAATTTACAAATTTTGCATATCAAAAGATTGGTGCCACATTTGTATATATCAGCTGGAATTCCATCTTTACCAGGCGCTTTTTCATTCGAAAGCTGTTTGATGTTTTTTTAAGCTTGAAGGTCAAAGGGTTAGCAGAAAGGCTTTGTACAACAGGGCTCTGAGGAAGATTGTTTATTACTTCAGCATCAACAGACGAACCTTGATTTAGTACCATGGAGAAATGTTCTGCCCAGTGTTTGATAATGTAGCTTTTGTTTGTCAAAATAATGTTATCTGAAGAAAGAATTGGTGATAGACCACTGGAAATGGGACTAAAAACACCCTTCAGGTTTTGGTAGAATGATTTGAAATCCCATCTGTCAGCAGACTCCTGCAAAGCTTTAGCCTTTGCTGTCCATCACCTCTCCTTCATCTCCCTCAATTTTGCTTGAGACTTTCCCATTGGCTGATTTAAAGGTCCATTTCTTTGATAGGCATGCTTTGTCTGCCATCCAGACCTGATGACATTTATGCATGTTTTCAAGAATAGATTTAATCTCAGGATCATTTGAATCAAACCAGTCTTGATGTTTTCACTGAATATACTTAAGTGTTACTTTCCACCAAGTCATACTGTATGTTTTGTAAGGCAGACCATACCGATTCAACTTCACTGCCTACATCAAGACATGAAAGTTCTGAGTCACACAATGTTTGGAAAGAATTTAATATTTCCTTTTTTTTCAGCTTTGTTATGTCTACTTTCTTTGGTGGTTTTGCTCAATTGTCTCTAACAAGCCTCTTCAAATGCAGACGTATGCGAACAAACAATTTTGTGACCTGACCAAAATTGACCGATTACTAGTGACCGTGTCAGGTTTATATCTGAATGATCACAGCCACAAATGATGATGTAGTCAATGAGATGGTAGTGCCCTGATCTCAGATGTCGTTATGTAACTTTGGAACTAGTTGGTTATTGGAAAATTGCATTGGTGATTACAAGATTGAATTCACTGCAAAGAGACAGCAGCAATACCCCATTAGAATTTGATTTACTGATACCATGTTTTCCAATAACCTTACCCCAGGAGAATGTATCACAACCAACATGAGCATTGAAGTCCCCCATCACAAAAAGTTTGTCATGAAATGACGTCCGCCTTAGAAGTTCGCAAAGGTTGCAATAAAAGGATTCTTTTACCTCGTCAGTAGAGTCAATGGTAGGAGCATAACAACTACATAAAGTGGTATGCTTATTCCTACTGAAAGGTAAGTGAAGAGACATTAGCTTGTCAGAAATACTAACTGGAAGTGATTCCAGTTGTGACACAAGATCATTTCTGATAGAAAATCCTACGCCAGATTCTCTTTTCACAGATTCAAGTCATCCTACCCAGAAGAAGGTGTAGTCAACTTCCACTTCTTTGAGTTACCCTCTGTCTGGAAGTCTGGTTTCTGATAGAGCAGCAATATTGATGTTGTTCTGTTTAAGTACTCATGCAATAATTGCTGTTCTGTGTTTAGGGTTTTTCTTATTGTCCTGAAGAGTTCTTACATTCCAAGATGCTATGAACATGTTTGTTTCATTAAGATGCTATGGACATGTTTGTTTTCTGAAATTTCAGGTGTGCAATTTGGATGCCCAGCCATATGCACCTTATGACAGGGTCATGCTCGGATATGCAATTTTTAGGTCACCTTTTATTGACCCTTCCTCATAAGTGGAAAGCAGTGCCATCTCTAAACAGGGTTGCTTTGTTATGAGAGGAAGACAGGAAATGCAACAATGTCTGATTTTGTGCTGACATCTATCTCTCACCTCCCATGTGTGAAATTCAAGCTAAAGACTGCCAGTGGCATCATCAACCTGTCCCCATCACTATCTCTTGCTCACCATGGGATTTCTGTCCTGCATGTATTTGTGTTGAACTATTATCCATCCAGCTACTGATCAACCTGCACTAAGATTTGTTTAAAATGGTCAGTTACTTGTACGTCACAAAGCATAATCTCTCCATCAGTTAACATAGCCCATATATTATTTTTGAGGGTAACGGGCAATACTGGTCTTCACCCCTCCTCTAAATCTCTCACATGTTAAA